TCCTAGTAGCGATGCCCTTTGCTCCTAGGAGCTTCTTGTTCCTAGTAGCGATGCCCTTTGCTCCTAGTAGTGTCCTTGCTCCTAGTAGTAAGGCCAGGAGCCCCTAGTAGCGTTTCGGAGTTCTTGTTGGGTTGGAGCCTTGGGCCCGGGCCTCTGTGAGGTAGTAGGGCGTGAGGTCTGCGCCGCCGCCCAGCCAGGCGCTCTCTTGGCCGTTCGCAGCGGTCACGCAAAAGATCCGGACATCAGAGCGGAAGGTCGGGATCCAAGGGCTCACCGTGTGGAGCACCATACCTTAGGTTGGAGGCCATTGCCAGTAGGGAATAAGCGGCGATGGCCAAAAACTCTTGTGGATGACTGCCCTGAAAGGATCATGAACCCCTTGTTACTAGTAGCGTCCTTTTTCCTAGTAGTACGGCCAGGAGTCCCTAGTAGCTTCTTGTTTCTTGAAAAGCCCTGAAAGGATCATGAACCAAAGTCATCTTAGCTCGATAGACATGGTTGCTCCGAGATACTCAGCGCCGCCGCAGCATAAGCATCCCCAGCTTGCACCAGGAGGCCTTCCTGGCGCGCGCTGATGGTCTTAGCCCGTTCAGCAGACAAGACACCTCCTCGAATGATGGTCAAGCTGCAAGCGCCTTTTTCCTCAGACATAAATGTTGATACATTGAAGAAACTCCTAAGGCAATAAACATGACGGATCGATGCGAATCGGTTTTGCGGGGACATCTCAATCTATCGAAAAAAATCACAGTTTAGATGCGTTCTTTCTCCAATATAAATCGAAACACGACAATACGACCAAAAAACTAGAACTACAAATAGGTGGAGGCCATCGCTATTAGGTGTATCAGGTTCCTTAAGCTTTCATTAAGATTTCCAATAAACTTCCTAGCTTCAATGACTTCGCCTCCCTGCAGGACACGTGTCAAGCCTCCGCTGCCGTGGCCCTTAAGGCCACCCCCCCCGGCGAAGATGCCCCAGGGATCGCAGGAGAAGGTTGCAGAGCCCTCCATTGCCTGGAGTCAGAGTCAGTGCAGTATGCAGTGCAGCCATGAACGTTGACACGATGGAACACCTAAGACCCTAGGAGCCTAGGTTGGAGGCCATCGCTATTAGGTTTGTGGCCTAGGACACTGTACCTTGCAGTGTACTCTGTACATCTCTGTACTTGAAAATAACCAAAAAAAAGTTGTTGAGATCTATATCTCTCTCTTCGCTCCTCAAGTTCACCGATGATCTTCGTCTGCTTTTCTTTCAAAAACTGGGCGAAGGTGTCGAAGTCCGCACAGCGCCGAAGAGTCGAAGAGTCCTTCGTCCTCGCCCGAGTCGGTCGGACGAAGGCAGGAGGTGCCAGGCTCAGGAGCGCCGTCAGGAGGAGCGCCACATGTCCGAAGGAACGCCGTGAAGTCATGGCGTCACATGTGTGAGGCAATTCCTTCGAAACTGGAACCCCTTCACAAGAGAGGCGGGAAGGGATGGTTTCAGGGATGCATGGGAACGAAAAAGAATCAAGGACAATTGTATGAGGAAGAGGCGAAGAAGCCATGGTCGGCAGTAGTTCCACCTCAGGGTTCGGACAAAGGTCGCATATAAGTGGGTAGTTGCCCCTCTCCTTGTGGGAAGCTCATTAAAGAATTGATATCACCAGTATCTCGCTCAGCTTAGAACCAGAAAAGGCAGCAGGTCAAGAACTTTGGTTGAAACAACCACAGTAGAGAAGGCAAGAGATGACTGAATGTTAACAAGGCTTCCAAGGACACCAAATGACATAGATATCCATGATACCTCAAACTGAGAATGTCCTCAGGAATCATGAACAAATCCAATTGATGAATGCACGTAGGAGGCAAGTCTAAGAAGCTCAAAGTGTCTTGCTCAACATCAAAGTCCAAACATCGCAACAGGTCGGTTTCTCTTCCGTCTTTCGAGATGGCTGGTGCGACGTGATTGCGGCACAAATGGATGGTTGATCATGCCACCACCTTCAACATGGAATAGCAGGGCCCCCAACCTGGTAGCGAAGGCCTCCAACCTAATTGCGATGGCCTCCAACCTAGTAGCGATGGCCTGAGACAGCGGGCTAGGTGTCTCCAAGGCACGATGATGTTTGATGGCACGCCAGGACCATATCCTGCGAGTTTGTCTCACAAAATGCTGCACCCTGCTGTGCGATTGCTTTCACATCCAAAAAGCGTCTTGATGCAACTTGTGCAGGTCCGTTGGTTCAATGGAATGCCATCCCACCACACGATTCCTTTGGAATACAGTACAACTGTCCTACCTTGGAGAGGATCGCGCTGCAACTTTTGCATCAGCGCCAAGCGATCGTTGGCGTCCTTCAACATACCCGGCCTGGGTGCAAAGGGCAAAGTCGGACCAGTTTCTGAGGAAATGTCTTTGGCAAATGTGGATACTGAAATTCTGCTTCCCCCTACAGTGTCCGCCAGCACTATTAGAGACACCTCACTAGGAAGTTCTGCCATGCAACATGGTCATTGATCTAATATACTTCCATCCAAAACCCGGCGAACACCGAGTGATTCTGTGCACTGCTCTACCGTTAAAACTTCAAAACCTGTCCCAGATCCCCAAATGGTGTGGCACATTTACCAAAGCCTGTGCTTGTCAAAGCCTGGAAGGGGGGTGTGAAGCTTTACACTGACGACACACCGCATATGGCCTTAGGCAATTTCTATCCCTCACTAATTACAAGCAGCACGTGTTCTTTTCTCTTTTCCCCTCTATTGTTTCTGTTTTCTAGACTGTCTTTCCTTTCTTGCTTTTCTTTTGTAAGGACTATCTTTGTCTTCAAAGAAAGTGTTTTTCTATGTACAAGCCGGCAACGCGAGGTCAGTCCGCGCATATGTGGGCATCCACCTGAGCTGCCTGACTGAGCATTCGGTCCCATTGTGCTGGCATCCTGGCGAATGTGAATGGAGGATGATTGGCTTCCACCGTTGAGACTAAGACATCCGACTAATCATAAATTCTTGTTTCTAATAGCAAACATTGTTACTACTAGTAAGGCACTTGTTACTAGTAGCGATGCACTTGTTACTAGTAGCTTATTTCTATTTTAATTCGTGTTTCTAATAGCAAGCATTGTTCCTAGTAGCGATGCCCTTGCTCCTAGTAGCGATGCCAGGAGCCCCTAGTAGCTTCTTGTTTCTAATAGCTTCTTGTTCCTAGACGTTTAAAGGAACCTAATAGCGATGGCCCGAAAAAAATACTAGCGATGGCCTCCAACCTAAGAGCGATGGCCTCCACCTTAAGAGCGATGGCCTCCAACCTAGTAGCAAACTATATTAGACCTTTCTTCCTTTTCTTTTTGCTTTGCTTCTAATTTAGATGGCCTCCACCCGTGTGATGTGATCTTTGGGTCCCTACAGCGCAGAATATGACCTGTCCCTCCAAAATAACTCTGGCAGGACAAAGGTCGTTTTTATCCGTGTAAAGACTAGGGCTGGGACCAGTCATAGGACTAGTGACCTTTTAAGTTCATTCCCTAAGCAAGCCTAGTAGTGCAGGTATAAACAATCCCAGCTGACCAGAATAGTCTACTGAGTCTACTGATCTTCAGAGAATGTCCTTCCTAGTCCTTCAAGGCCCTCTTACTGGATGTGTCTTGTCTAGCCACCAAGAAGGACACATGTGATGTGTTATTCCTCTGAGTCTTTCCATGTCTTGCCATCCTCTCGTGTCCTTGGACCATCACAACCCGACAAAACACCTCGTGGAGGTTCTCGCCGATTGCCAGGTTTGCTGGCTGACCGCCCTCACCGAGCTGCATGTCGCTGGTGGCCTCGGGTGAATCGGCTGCATGCCAAAGAAACTGTGTCAAGACAATTGAGTATAGAAGCGATGGCCTCCAACCTAATAGCGATGGTCTCCAATCTTTTGTTTTGTAAGGAGCAATTAAGTACAAGACCTAAGACAGTATGGAAAAGTTGTTCCACTCCAGTAGGGTCAATTGAAGCCACTGAGCGTCTGGCCATGCAGGTTTCAATATGGCCAGCTGGTTTCAGCAATGAACAAATATATAGCTATTCTCACTGTAAGAATTGAACCTTCAAACGCTTTCTGTGAGCAATAATAAGGATGATTGATTCCAGGAACACCAGTGATGTGCCTAAGCAAACGAGTCTCCACGCTAACCATTCCTCCGATTGACTGCCGGTGAACCAAAAAGTGAGGACCTGTACACGTTCGATAATTAGGCACGAAACATGGACACAAAATGAAACAAACACAGCTCCCAAATAAAGGAGTCCCTTCGTTTCTCTGCACTCCCAATCAACCCATTTGTTTGACAAAGGTAGATCTGGAAAACCTGACGAAACCTGGAGATCCGCGGTCCATCTTGGCATCCCGAGCAATACCCACCTTGAGCTCTTTGCCTCGTGTGGCCACCAAAGACAGAACAAGAAAAGAACAAAACCACAAGGATGAGAATGATTCCAACCTTAACCTAAGAGCAATGGCCTCCAACCTAGTAGCGTCCTTGCTACTAGTAGTAATGCCCTAGCTACTAGTTCCTAGTCGCGTTCTTGCTACTTGTCGCGATGCCCTTGTTACTAAGAGCGATGGCCTCCAACCTAATAAGAATCAGCAGCACTCTTTTCGATTCAAAGTTTCATAGAGTTCCCCAGGCTTAAAAGTCAATGCTGGAGAATCTCAGAACAGGTGCACTACAGTGAACCGGCACGACCCATAGACCCAACTTCAAGCACTTCAAGTGACTTGCCAACATCTTCAGGCTATGCAAGCTCTGTCAGGCTGTGTTAGGCTCTGTCCCATGTTTAACATCGAGGCAAAGCACCTCGTCTTCACCTCATCTTTTTCGCTCAACCGACGTCCCCACTTTCTTCCCGCCTGCCAGCTGGAAGCCATTCATGGCCGTCATGGCTTCGCGGGCCTCCGAGGCGTTCTTGAACTGGACGAAGGCGAAGCCCTGCGAAGGTCGAAGCAAAGACGGCAGGAAGCAAAAGCAGTAGCTTCTTGTTACTAGTAGCATCCTTGTTCCTAGTAGTACGGCCAGGAGCCCCTAGCTTCTTGCTCCTAGTAGTAAGGCCAGGAGCCCCTAGTAGCTTCTTGTTCCAGAGAAAGCAAATGATTCTCTTGAGGGAAAGCTTTGAAGGTGCAGCCTGAAACGGCAAAGAACTGCTCTTCAAAGCCTTTCACCTAAATCGGAGTTCCTTTGACTGTTCTTCACAGACTACGGTTTACCTTGTACAGCGAAACGGAGTGCCCTCAGAATCGAAGAGGAATGCAAGGAAGCACACATTGCATATCATGCCCGCAGGGTCGAATCAAAACAAGAGTCTGGCGGCCAGCCTTGCACTTGTTCGTGTAGGGATCCCTGTGAAGGTCAATGAACTCAATCTCACCTTACGACTTGGTGACACTTTGTCGGTGCCTTTGCCTGTTTGTTCTTTATTAAGAATCTACTAGGAGCAAAGGGCATCGCTACTAGGAGCAAGGACGCTACTAGTAGCTCCTGGCCTTACTACTAGTGGCAAGAAGCTACTAGGAACAAAGGGCACCTGTTACTACTAGCGTGGCACCTGTTACTAGTAGCTTTTTGTTACTAGTAGCGTGGCACTTGTTTCTAATAGCTTCTTGTTACATGTCAGAATTGTGAAGCTCAAGTGCTCGGTGTCTTGTCAAATCCATATCTCCCAGTGCGGAATCAACCAACACTACTAGCGTCCTTGCTCCTAGTAGCGTCCTTGCTCCTAGTAGTAAGGCCAGGAGCCCCTAGTAGCGTCCTTGCTCCTAGTAGCGATGCCCTTAGCTACTAGTAGCTTCTTGTTCACTGGATTAATAACATGCTTAATTCACAGTTTGAGGCCGGGTGGCTGAAGTGCACTGCGGGAAAACGGCGGGAAACAACAGCCAGACGTTGCTTGTGTGTTGCTTAACGTGTGCGTGCAAATTAGCACGCTTAGTGCAACTCGCAGTAAGACCAAGTGGCCGAAGGGCGAGAACAACTTCTTCAGCTCTTCCTCTGAGATGTTTGCCAAAGAGTCGGTCAGGCCACCCACGTACAAGCCTGAGCGGTGCGGCTCGACGGGGCAGAAACTTGCAACAAAACCAACCCAAATACCACAAAACCGGCTTTCGGCCAGCTTTCTCACCCCAGCATGAAAGCGTTTTTCACAGAGCTTAAGGCGCTTTTCAAAAGACTGTTGTGTGGCACAGTTTCAAGCACCAATAAAGGCATGCTTCTTTCCATATCCTTTTCCACGATCTTTCAATGCAATAATTATGGCCCTTACGTTAAAGGGGGCCCACCTCAAGACCCACAGGAATCATTTTAAATGATTCTGGGGGGGTGTGAGGGGGGTTGGTGATATTGATTCTGACAGTCATCCACGGTCAGGATCATTTCCTGAAATCTGCTGACATTTCCTGACATCTGAACTCTGTACCCAAAGTATTATTGGTATTATCATGTTTAGGTATAATTATGTATTATTGTCGGTGTCCAATGTTTTCCCACTGGGTGTCTAAGAATGTGGTGAGTTATGTGATTTTATATGGAAATGACTGGTGTGGAAATGATTCGAGGGCAGGTTGAGATCAGAATTGTGTTTTTTTTTTGATGTTCTTTGAGGGTAGGGGAGTGGTGGTAGATCTTTAGATGTGTTTTAATGTGTTTTCCGGAACCCCAAGAATATCCAAGAATGCCCAGTCTGGGAAATGGACATGGGATCTTTCATGGGTAGTGCCTGGAATGGTAATGTGATGAGATATGTGGAAATGACAGGTGTGTGGAAATGATTCCAGGGGGGGGTTGACATCAGAATGGGGTGTAAGGGTAAAATCTTGGAGGGGTGGATTCTGGAAGGTGAGATGTTTAGAGGAAACTCCCATACCCAATCTGGGCAAGGGCAATGGAGCTGGGAATTGCAATTTATTCCACGATTCCACCATGTCATTCTATTTCCATAGGTATTATAGGTAGTATTATGTATTGTTGTCGGTGTCCAATGTTTTCCCGCTGGGTGTCTAAGAATGTGGTGAGTTATGTGCTTTCATATGGAAATGACTGGTGTGGAAATGATTCCAGGGGGGGTTGACATCAGAATTGGGGTGGTTGCTTTTCTTGCCAAAGCAAGAACCCACATGGCAAAACTGAATAGGTTTGGGAGGCTCAGCCATCAGTTGGTACAAGCGCACACGTTGAAAAAAAATGAAATATTGAAGCTGGTCGCGTTCCCACCTTTTGCATTGGTGCAGAATCTGTTTTAATACTGTTTTCTGTATTTGATGGACTCTCCAATAGAAATCTGATGAAATCTGTACGCTTGAGACTCAGGTGAATGCAATTATGACATTGCAACATGTGAAAATGATTCTGGCACATCGTTCACATCAAGTTAAAAATTAATGAAAATGATTCTGGGGGGGGGTTGACGACCCCCATGAACCCCCCTGTCAAAAAATTATTCCAGAGAAATGATTCTACTTAAATGATTCTGCCCATTGACGTACCCCCTGGAATCATTATTTAGCGTAACCCCCATCAATAATTGGTTCACCCCTTTTCAAGGTTGGAGGCCATCACTATACCCAGCTTGTTCCACCCGTTTCGCCAGGTGGCGCAGCGGTGTCTCTCTGGGTGCTGTGTAATGGATGGATGCTTTGGCGGCCTGCGCCGCTCGGTTCTTCTCCGACTGACTCGGCTGGACACGCACCGCCTGGCGGAGCCAACTGGACAAGAAGCTACTAGGAACAAGTGCATCGCTACTAGTAACAAGTGCCTTACTACTAGGAACAAGGAGGCTACTAGGGGCTCCTGGCCGTACTACTAGGAGCAAGGATGCTACGGGCTCCTGGCATCGCTACTAGGAGCAAGGACGCTACTAGTCACAAGACGACAAGAAGTAACCCTCAGCAGTAGCATTCTTGCCAAAGGCCTCCAAAAGAGAAAGAGTGCCCTGAGTGCCCTGTTCGCGCCCGGTTCGCGATGTTCACTCTGTCGAAACTAAAGCCGCCTGGCCCTTGACCGGCTGGCCACTGAGCGCCAAGGCTTTCAGCGTCGCTTCTTGCAAGTAGAACTCCACATAGGCCAAACCCTTTGAACGACCTCACACCCCCAAGACAGGAAGAAAAACTGGCCTGCAAATCGTCGTGCCACACAAGACCACTGCTTCAAACGAGGCAAAGATTGTGACGTTTAAAGCCAAAATGCCAGGAGCCACTAGTAGCTTCTTGTTACTTGTAGCGATGGCCTCCACCTAGCAGCTTCTTGCTACTAGTAGTAGTGCCAGCTACTAGTAGCGTCCTTGCTACTATTGTGATGCACCTTGCTATTGTGATGTCTAAAGGACACTTTGATCTAAAGCCTCGGATGTTGAGATCTGGGTCTCTAAACATCGCAGCAAAAAACACTGCTAAAGGAAGCACGTCGAAACAGGACAGTGATGGTCAGATTCTGGAGCCCCAAAAACGGGTTGAAGGGTTCCCCATTCCCTGTATTGCCCGAAAAGAACACCACCACCAGCAGCCTGAATTTGTCTGGAACTTTTTTGCCGCCCTCCATCTCACTGTCTTGCTCAGAGAGCTCAAGTTTCTATTTTTTTTAGCCCCGAGGCCCGGCCTCCCAAGCTATTAGGAACAAGAAGCTACTAGGGGCTCCTGGCCGTACTACTAGGAGCAAGGACGCTACTAGGGCTCCTGGCATCGCTACTAGTAGCAAGAAGCTACTAATAACAGGAAAGCTTTCTCCTAAGTAGGCGCCTACTTAATTAAGCAAGGGAGGAAGCTCCTAGCTACTAAAGCTACTACCTACTGGACACAAGATAGCTCACGCTTCTTGAAGGAAGCTCCCCGTTGAAGAAGTGCTCGCACTAATGATTTGGTTCCTCGATGTTTAGGAAACACTTAACTATATATTAGGCCCTTGTTCCTTTAGCGATGGCGTCCAACCTACTAGTTGGTTTTCCAGTTGATTCTTCTTGTGCGTCTATGAGATGTTTCAATGTTACTAGTTCCGCCAAATCCACATCCCCTAAGCATCGACCCACTTTGAACTGCCCCACCTGTACGTGCATCTCGGATAATCTGCACATCACGGACCTGCGACAGTACATGGCGCGTAGCAGCGTAGCTATGCGTAGCTCATGCAGCTGTCTCTTTCCTTAGAAATCTGAAAAGCGTGGCGATGGCGGCTGCAACCCCATTTGCTTCGCAAACAGGGACAATGCAAAAATATACTTCGTACAAATGAAAAGGGAAGTCCACCTGTGCTCACGCCTTGCCCGCATTCTTGGAGAAGAACTCGTAGACATCACGCTCATCAGCCTCATAGTTCCCTCCCACCCTTGTGAGGAGCACCCCTTTTTGCTTTTCCTTTTTTAGTCCAGGGAGGATGGGGGGGGTAGAGCAGGCTAAAAGTAACTAGCTAGGACACAGGAAAATATAACGCTTCTTTGAAGAAGCGCTCTCACTATTCATGTAGTTCCCAGATTTTTAGGAAAACGGTGGAAATCCCAGTCTCACTTCTCGCACTTGTGCTTGCTTGGTGTGAGACGTGTTGCCTTCACATCTACGTTCTGAGCAGCAATTCCTGTCGATCGTCGGCAATGCCACCATCCCGCCTTGTGGTGCAGGCACACAATCATCACCTCAGCTAAGCGTGTTTGCAAGGTGTCCTTCCTTCCACACATCTTCTATCCGAGTTTTCGGATGAGCAGTTCCAAAAGATGTTGTTGGCATTGATTTGACTAGGAGCAAGGACGCTACTAGGGGCTCCTGGCCTTACTACTAGGAGCAAGGACGCTACTAGGGCTCCTGGCCTTACTACTATAAGGGGTAGCTAAGTTGAGACCAAAGTCCGACTAATACACTGTGTAAGGTGTAATCTGTTTGATGCACGTCCCAAGCAACGGCTTTACCAACATTCGCCACGTCGCCGTACGATCACCGCGGGTAGCATCCTCGATCTGTCGCCGACGCTCCTGTGGCCAATACCGGTGGCATCGCCACGGTTTCATGGCAGAAGATCTGTAACACATATGATTAAAAATATTGTGTATAATATACAATATTAGATATAAGAATACGTATAGCATTAATACATAATATATAATACATTAAAACACTGAGTGCACAACACCACGGTCCTCTTCTTCCTCTTGGCGCCGCTTCTCCTGGAAAGCAGTCATGACGTGTCACATGTGTCACCACAAAGTCACCAAATCACCTGGCCTGGGTTTGGAGCTTGTGCTGTTCGAGGATCCCCCCACCCGTTGTTAAAGCCAAAAATCCTCTGCCCTGCGCCCCTCGCTCTCCTCCAGCTCGCGTTCCTTCTCCAAACGCCTTGCTTCTCGGCTCCGGCTGCGGCTGCGGCCCCGGCGCGCGGAGCGCGATCGGGTCCTGCGCATGAGCAACAAGGGTGTGGACGGTCCACGAGCGACGGCGTCCTTCAAGCGATAAAAGTGGAACACAGAGACGCATAGCTTCCTTGTTCCTAGTAGCGATGCCAGGAGAGATCGCTTTCAGGGACAAAAACATTATCAATGCTGTGAGCTACAAGAACCTTTTGGAAATCCTCATGAGCATGCACACTGACACCGATCACCAAGAGAAACATGAAGGAACATACTACTAGTAAATAGAATTCTTATTAGAATTTCATTAAAGCGATCTCTCAAGATCGTGTTGCAACCCGTCGCAACGCGTGGCATGTCTCTCCTGGAGCGTCGCTTCTTGTCTTTGCGCCGGTCGTCATCATAGTCCGCATTGGCCGCTCGCTCCTGAGCGCTCGGTCAGCGGTCAGTTGTCGCTCCTATTCGCTCCGGTCCGGACCTGTTTAGATAGCCTCTCCATCCTAGTAGCAGCCTCCAACCTAGCGTATTGAGGGATTCTTGATCTTGGATTTAGACTCATAGGACTGATTTAAAAATTGTCTCTGCTTTGGAGTTCATTCCCGGCGTCCGCGTTGTCCAAGAGCTGCTCGACTGCATCGAAGTCCAAGTCGTCCGCCATGGCGCTTCTTTTCTGGAACTCACCAGTGGCGCGCAACGCAGTCCGGGGGAAACCGAGGAAACGCCCCCCGCGGGTCACGCGCCTGAGCCAAAGAGGCGCACAGTAAGGTGCTAGCAAAAGGTCTATAAGACCCTTTGTTCTTCTGCTCATTTTTTGGAACATTAGACCTGTTCTTTTTCCACGACCAGAACAGTCATTTAACACTGTTACATATGACAGGGCGATTGTATACGATCGCGCAATCGTACTGCGCTTGGCGCGGGATGCTAGAAGAAGGTAGAGGCTCTTTGCAGGCATGCTAAGGCTGGGGACTGAATTCCTGCCTTACGGAAATCGTTCTTGGGTGAATGTGGCATCTGATCTACCACAAAATCTTCATGAAACCTCCATGGAGGCAAGGCAAGTCTTTGCCGCTGTATGATGCCTTGAAGCAAGTTGACCGGACAAGCTCTTGAATTTGAAGGATGCCACTTAGTTCTCCAGGACAAGCCAAGAATGGCAGGTCGGACTCAGGAGTGATGTTGAGTACCAAACTTATCCAAGATCATGAGTCCACGCATGCGCACATAAAAGGACCCATTGAAGAACCTGCTCTTTTAGCTCAACCTCAGATTAAGACATCTTCACAGCCCCCCCTGGGGTAATAAAAAAGTTATTCTGACCACTGCCACTCATCATTCCAATACGTCATTCACATTGCATAATAATTTTCAGACTTCTGTACCTGACACACCCGTCAACAGCCAGACAGGGTGTGGTTTGCAAAAGTATTCCAAAAAATATTCTGAATTCAAGGGTAGTACCTTAAACCACTACCTTGCTTAAGCATTATTCCATCGAACATATTCCTGGAAAATATTCCAACACGTAACATTCATTAGGCCACCCCCCTATGAAATCTTGTATCGGGAATCACACTTTGATGGAATACCGCCTACCGGGGACCTATGCAGGACATCTTTCTTTCCAAAATCTCACTGAAGCCATCTATTTGCTCCAGGTGCTAGCTTCAAGTGAGCCTCAAGTGGTTGATTGCATTACTGTTACTACTAGCGTGGCACCTGTTACTACTAGCGTGGCACTTGTTTCTAATAGCTTCCTTGTTACTACTAGTAAGGCACCTGTTACTACAGAGTCTAGAGATCACGAACTGATGGCATATCACAGGCGTTTTGCTCATGCCATCAAAGTGTGATTCCCCAAACGTCCTACACCAGCCAAGTAGCAACAACTCCTGGGTACGAATATGGCCTCCAACCTATAGAAGTGATGGCCTCCAACCTATAGAAGTGATGGCCTCCAACCTATAGAAGCGATGGCCTCCAACCTATAGAAGCGATGACCTCCAACCTAAGAGCGATGACCTCCAACCTAAGAGCTATGACCTCCAACCTATAGAAGCGATGACCTCCAACCTAAGAGCGATGACCTCCAACCTAAGAGCTATGACCTCCAACCTATAGAAGCGATGACCTCCAACCTAAGAGCGATGACCTCCAACCTAAGAGCTATGACCTCCAACCTATAGAAGCGATGACCTCCAACCTAAGAGCGATGACCTCCAACCTAAGAGCCATGACCTCCAGCCTAAGAGCGATGGCCTCCAACCTAATAGCGATGGACTCCAACCTATAGAAGAGATGGCCTCCAACCTATAGAAGCGATGACCTCCAACCTAAGAGCTATGACCTCCAGCCTAAGAGCGATGGCCTCCAACCTAAGAGCGATGGCCTCCAACCTATAGAAGTGATGGCCTCCAACCTATAGAAGCGATGACCTCCAACCTAAGAGCTATGACCTCCAGCCTAAGAGCGATGGCCTCCAACCTATAGAAGTGATGGCCTCCAACCTATAGAAGCGATGACCTCCAACCTAAGAGCTATGACCTCCAGCCTAAGAGCGATGGCCTCCAACCTAATGCACTGTATCCCTAAGCACTCGTGAGGCACGCTCTTTCTCCTCCCCTTTGCACCCTGCGTTGTCCGCAGCTAACACCCCCCCCGGACTTCATGCGTCCGGGGAGGGCTCATCTCAGGAGGTCTCGCCCTGAAATGTCTCATGGGACGGGTTACAGATAGAGGCGAAAAAGCTCCTGGTAGTGTCCTTTGTTCCTAGTAGCAATGGAGCCCCTAGTAGCTTCTTGTTACTACTAGTAAGGCACTTGTTACTAGTAGCGATGCACTTGTTACTAGTAGGTTCTTGTTCCTAGTAGTAAGGCCAGGAGCCCCTAGTAGCGTCCTTTGCTCCTAGTAGCGATGCCAGTAGCGTCCTCTCTGGGGAGGATTTCTTCTTGGTTGAGGGGACAAATCGATTTTGCTTGATGCTCGTGACATGCACATCAAAAATCTCGTACGTGGGTCCATCCAATCTGCTAGACCACGTGGCCACCTTGGCCTCTCCAATTAATTCAATAGTTAAACCAGGTGTTATATGTTTTGTTAATTTTTCCTCAAGGGGGGTAGGCCGCTAGGAGGTACGTAGCAAGTAGCTAGAGGTAGCTAGTAGCTTACTTAAGCTCGTAGAATGGACGCAGGATAGCTCGCTCTCGCACTCATGATTTGGTTCCTAGATTTTCAGGGAAACTTAAGGTTTGTTTTAATGCGTAGACATGTCTTGTTTTCTTCAGCGCTCTCTCTTCCTTCCTTCCTTCCCTCCCTCCCTCCCTTCATTGCTTGTGGTTCCTTGTTTTGTCTCCAGTTGTCTCCAGAAAGAAACACGCATGCCTTGCGTGCGGCGGCGGCAGCTTCTGCTTGGCTTCCATCATCATCGTCGTCATTCATGTCGACAAACTCGTCCTCTAGGATCCAAACACCCCATGCTGCTAGTAACAAGGGCATCGCTGGCTACTAGTAACAAGGGTATTACTACTATATATATATAGTAGCAAACAGCTACGATTAGCAAAGTAGCTACTAGTGACGGTGCCAGGAGCTACTAGTAGCGTCCGATGCATGTTTCTTTACATGTTAAAGAATGCCATGGAAAAACACATACATTACATGTTCCGCCCGTACAGCTGAGAATTCACTTCCTTTTCCTTTTTCAGCTTTGACAAGATATGTACATGCTTTGTTCACTGTCTGGAAAGACGAACTGGGATTGGGCAGATTGATCGAAGCTACCGGGGTTCCAATAACCACTGCTGCGGGTGCATCTTTAAGCTGGTTCACTCAGTTGACGGTTGCCACAGTGCGATGAGCACTGATATTTTCCAATTTCCATGCCAAGTCCGTTTTTTGATGAGAAACTGACGGGTTTTTTGAACAAAGATGAATGTCTTTATGTCCTATGTGCGGCCCTACAGTACTGATGTTTTCTCACAGAGAAAACCGGGAGAGCCGGTAGCAGATGGTGCTCACAAACACTCCTGGCCATATCAGTTTGTATACGCTGTGCTGAACTCGCGGTCGAAAACAGAGCTGCTTGTGGATTCTGAACAGCTTTTTTGTGGCTTCCACTGCCTCTTTTGACCTTAGAACTTCATGTAAAGACGACTCCATGACTGATAGTTTCGCAGTCGAAACTCGTGAAGCTGCACGGCTCTATGGCAAAAACAGGATGTTCAATCAACCAAAACGATCCAGTGATCCACATGTTTCAGAGGTCCACTAGGCACCCGAATTGAACGCGTACCCTAAGAGTGACGGAGATATCACGGGTCGTCATAGTTCCATAAGCTTATGGCATTTGTTGTACGTGCTTGGGAGTATGCGCTCCCCACGTAGTTCGGCGATCCAGTGTTTCGGTTTAGATCACTAGGCCTGAACACACAATCTATACCGAAGGTCTCCAACCCACGAGCGATGGCCTTCAACCTAAGAGCAATGGCCACCAAAAGCCAGCTTACAACAAGCTAATTATTCTTCGTTGAGTAGCAACAAGTGAGCTTTCCCTTCTGTAAAGCTCTTACTAATGAAAGCAAATCTTCCATACAATCACAAAATATCTAGCATATCTAGCTCCCTAAAGACATGTGTAAGTATTATGCCTGCTCTCAAAAGCCCGCAACCCTGTGGCCAGACTCCTTGCTGGCGCCACACATTGGGCATTTGAACTTCTCGTTAAAAAAGGCGCCCTCGCGCCCCCTGGAGACACAAAACACTGGACCGCTGCCCGGACTGCTCTCGTTTTGCTTTGGGAGCTACACAGCTGCAAACCTGGCCTTTTCCTATAGCAGTACCAAAGCTGGCGAAATTGTTTAGCTAAACGCCATACAGGGTGGAACTAGTTCATTCTCTCCAGATTGACGAATACGTGCCGCATTTCGCCTAGGTCAATATCGATCAGTATAAACAGCACAAATAGTCTGAGAGTGCTGAAATGGAAGCGAGATTAAGATAGTGAGCCAGTTTCTGAGCTGCAATTTGTAATGAGGTGCAAAAGCTACAGCGTCGATCAGTGGATTGGCCTCTCAGTTGGGCCACTCAGATCTTGAAGTATTCGGGGCGGCGAAATTCTTGCAACCTTCGGTTGATTAAGACTGGGGTTCAGGCTTCTCTTGCACTTACAGTATGTATTATGCATATCTGCATACTGTATGTGACTCATCTGTGGGCTGTTTCATTCCCAGTCGAGTGCTCGCCTCGCTGGGAATAAGGTGTAGCCACAGCCGCTGCACATGAACATATGCAACTCTTTCTGCGCCTAGCGCGGCACCGGAACCGAGATCTGGAGACGGGGTGGGGATATCGATGGCCTCCAACCTAGTAGCTTCTTGTTACTAGTAGTAATGGCCTCCAACCCAATAGCGATGGCCTCCACCCCAGTACGGTTTCGTTCTTGCTGGAATGTGGGTCGTCCAAATCTGAGAATCATGTTCAGTCACATGTCGGGTCCAAGAGTCATCTGCCTGAACACACGGGAAGTTGGAAAACTGTCGCAACAGGCTTGCCATCCTAAAGTGGTTTGAAAGGGCAAAAAAAGGATGATTTCGGAGAGACAGGCTTCCCCGATGCCATATAAAGCTTCGTCTCTTTGGGTACGGGGAAATCACTCCACCAAGCGCTGCTCTACTTGACAGGTCGTGGGAGATGGGTGAACTTCAGATGCTCGGGTGCTTCAGCAATGTATGCGCAATACACCCGAACAAGCCTTCGCTAAAGCCAGAAGTGCAGGTAGCTTAGGCAACCCTTTTTTTGAACCGTGGCTTCAGGAAGTCCGGTTTGCTCTCATGGCTCGCTGCAGGGGGAAGGCTCTCAGCAAGGCTCTATTTTCCTCTGAACGCCTCATCTCCTTCGGAGTCTTTCTGGACGTTGAGAACGCAAAAAGAAAACAACCAGACAAATTTGCTCCCTTGCGATCTATCCTTTGGACGTCGTAAACCGGCAAGCTGGTTCAGCATTAAGTAATGCGTCTATCAAGATCCAACAAGGACATAACACTCAGAAAAATTGCACGATCAGCACTGCCCAACTTCAGCACGATCAGCTACAATGCAAGGTTCTTGGTCGTACTTCGTGAAAGTCGAATGCACCTCCAGCCACCAAAGGACAAAAAAACGAGCAGTCCGGCACCACACGCGAAAGCCATCGCCAAATACTGGCTTTCAACGTAAGCTTGCGTCGCCAAAGCGGTACCTTGGAAGCGGAAAGCATTGGCAGTGCAAGGGCCTTAAGGATCGCCACCCTAAGAACGCTACTAGGAACAAGTGCATCGCTACTAGGAACAAAGGGCCTTACTAGTAGTAACAAGGATGCTAGTAGAAACAAGTGCATCGCTACTAGTAACAAGAACGCTACTAGGTTCTCCTGGCCTTATTACCAGGAACAAGAACGCTACTAGGAGCAAAGGGCACCGCTACGAACGGAGCAAGGACGCTACTTGACTTTCGATGTTTGAAGAATTTCCCAACGAAATGGAAGAAGGATGACTCCAGGTGACCAAAAACCACACAGACGGTGAAGACCAAGAAGATCATCAAAGTCTTGGTGAAGTCTACGCGGCCCAGGCTCGCAAAGCGATCACAAAGGTAAAAGCCCAGCTTAAGACTCACAAGCATCCTGATTGGCGAGAGGGCAATTTTCAGGATGGAGGTGAGATAGACAGTCTTTTTGTTTAAGTTCGTGGGGGCGCCGTGCCTCCTTGCTTAAAAAGGCGCCTAATTAAGTAATGGCGACTAGTTTGCTACTAGAAGTTCGCTCCTACGTAGCTACTGGACGCAGGAGACTCCCCCTGCCGCCTTTAGAGTTTCCTTGAAGAAGTGCTCTACTGGGCATAGGTCTAGATCATGTTCACTTCATTCAATACTGTCGGATGTCGGCCTTTTTGTTTGTTGCCATGGGTTACAGTCTCGCAACAGCTAGTTGCCTCTACACTGCAGGGGGTTTGCTTAGAAACGAAGGCAGCCAAGGGCAGCTCACAACCACCTCTGTGAACATAAAAACGATTGAAAATGCCAGGAGCTACTAGTAGCTTCTGGTTACTAGTAGTAAGGCACTTGTTACTAGAAGCGATGCACTTGTTACTAGTAGCTTCTTGTTACTAGTAATATCTCTGGATTGCCAAGCATCCACAGTGTCTGCATTCCAACGACAACGCCGATAAAATGTGAAAGGAGCACGGCGCTGGGACCACCACCCTTCCAAATGGCCAAGAGGAATTCCTAATGCCAAAGGAGAAAAGGAACACGCATCACTGAGCATCGCTTTCCCAGATATGGAAGTCTACATATGAAGTCGTCTAATGACTGAAGGGGGATCAATCCAAAGCGTTTGAGGCTGTGGCTTGCGGGGTGAGGGAAATGCAACTTGGGTGTGGAAATTGCAAGTCTTTGGGGTGTTGGATTCTGCGAGAGTGCGGTTGGATTCTACGTGGAGGCCATCGCTACGACCAGCAACTTGAAACTCTCGTTGAAGAAGCGAGCAGGCAGACGCAGGACGGCACTGGGACTCCAGGAAAGCCAGTTTTTAAGCAAATAAAAACAAGAAAGGATCAAAAGGAAAAACATGTCTAAGGGAACTAGAAACAACAAGCTATTAGGGTGGAGGCCATCGGTACTAGGGTCGAGGCCACTACTACTAGAAACAAGATACTAGGGTGGAGGCCATTACTACACGTAACAAGAAGCTCCTCGACTCGTGGCCTACCCCCCCTTTAAAAAAAGGATAAGGTCTAAGGAAAAGATAGTCTATCCAAGGCTCCAGGCCAGACCCAATGGTTGGTGTCAACAACAAACACCAATAGACGTTTGGCACTTGGTTCTTCGACAAGGGCCTGACCAGCTCATCAAAGAGAGGCCCTCTCACGTAGTCCGCGAAAGCTGTCTTGCTGCCATACCAGGCAGTGATGCCTGCAAAAATGAAATCTCGATCATAGTCACTCCTGCAATCAGCGCCTTCCAAATCAAAGGCTTTAAGGTCTGTGATGAGCTTCAGCTTTTCTCGCGTGCTGGTTCGTAGAACATGAAATGCAAAATAAGCAGGAACCAGGGACAGGACATAGCCAGTATATGTCAATGGAAGGTTCACATTCATGGACTGAGAGATCCAAAATACAAAGACCACCGCATATGTGCCCAACAAAACGCAACCAATAGCCATCTCAATAAAGAGAGGAGCTAATACGATGGTCCCGCTGGGGTTCGCCTTTCGGTAAGCTGCCAGTTCAAAAACACACCATAGTCCTTGGATGTGCGTTTCAAATGGTGTAGACTTGTAGTGAACATGCTTGACCTTTTGTGGATTGACTTGTAGTTCAGGGTGCATACTGTGCATACACCCCAAGGCTCTGCCCACAAGAGCTAGACTGTTCTTTGCGCTTGATGTATATACACTCCCTCAGGAATTACATATGAACATGTGCGCATGCCACAGAGGTGATTTTATAACAGTATGTACCTCGCATGTGCCACATGATGTGCCACATGGGCTCCAAAGCCAGGAGTCTGGTCAAATATGGTGGACTCCATAGGACACGCAATTGCTTCGACACCGACAGAAATCATCCCAAGCCATAAATGCCACGTTCCATAAGCTCCTGAGGCTTGCGTGAAAGGATCCATGGTCAAAGCTGATTAGCTTGTGGCCCTCATAGTCCGGTGCTAAAGACATCTAAAGACTAGAATCCAGCGGTTCCAGCGGTCTGCATCCGTCTTCAATGCACACCAAAAAAGGAAAGAGAGAAAGGCTTCAAATGCTAAGCTTTGCCAAGTTTCATGGTTGGTTTGGTGGATGCTGACGACATCCAAGAAGCACATCTCTGCACCCAAAAGGTTTGGCAAATAGGGTGAGAGAAAAAGCCCAAGGACCTGACAACGATGGCCTCCAACCTAGAAGCAATGGCCTCCAACCTACTAGCGATGGCCACCCTAGTAGCTTCTTGTTACTAGTAGTAAGGCCAGGAGCTACTAGTAGCGTCCTTGCTCCTAGTAGCGATGCCCTTTGTTACTAGTAGCTATGGCAGCCCAAGGACAGATCCAATGAGGCCACCAATTAGAATCCATGGACCAAGAGGACACGTGCCCTGGAAGTCCAAGACCTGCACCTGGCCAGTCGAACTCAGTCGAAAGTGATCTTAAGTTTTCGAAGCGAGGCGCGTTTGGATTGATCGATGAGGGGAAAAAAAGCAACTTTGCACGCTTTGGTTGAAAGCATTCAGTTTGCGTTTGTCTAAAACGTCCGAACCGTCAGGCGAAGAAATCGGCGTGTTTCAGCTTCGACACGAAGGGTTCTTCCTGCGTCGCATGTAGCTTGTAGCGTGAAGTGACGTCACATGCTGCTACTTAGTGCTACTAGTAGCGAACCTTGTTCCTAGTAGTAAGGCCAGGAGCACAGTAGCGTTGTTTCCATTTCCGGAGAGCCCCAGTAGGATGGGGCAGGGCAAAGCACAAACAGTGCACCTCGATGGTGGATGTGGCTGGAAGGGCATCCAGTCCACATAAAAGAAGCATTAGCACCACGGCCATAGCCCAGCCTTGGCGCTCTCACTTAATAGCGATGGCCTCCAACCTAAATGCTTTATGCATCTTTATGCTGTGTTTCAAGTTTGCCAGAGTTTGCCGATCTTTGCCAATCATCGATGTCTTGCTCTTTTTTCTTTGTCAATCCCATCGATCCAATCCCAGTTCCAAAGCTTGCCAAGGAACCCAACAACATGCAGGGCCATCCCGATTGGAGCATCAAAGAAAGGACCTTCCATCGGCCAGGGGTCAGCCAAGTGTGCGAGAGAAAGACGTCGATGTTCTCCACTTGGACCGACTTGTCCCACAAGGTGGACCGCTTGGCCTACACTCTCCCAAGAGGAGTGCAAGGACGCTACTAGGGGCTCCTGGCATCGCTACTAGGAGCAAGGACGCTACTAGGGGCTCCTCCCAAGAGGAGTCCAACTAAATTTAACGTCTTGTCTTTCTTCCCTAAGGAGGCCATCGCTACTAGGTTGGAGGCCATCGCTAGTAGGTCTTCCCCTACTCAAACTTTCCTACACGCAGCTCTCGGAGCCATGAGCACGTGTTGCAAAAACGTTCCTACCCAGGCCATAGGCCTTAAGTGGTGGTCTGTCCTACCCGTTGCTAATCCAAACTGGAATGTGTTGCCATCTATGTCTTCTTTGCGTATTTGTATGTTTCTTCTTCCGTTTTTCCTCTGACTTCTAGACAACTCCTTTCTTTCTTTTCCTGTTCCTGTATTCTTATCAGTCTTATCATGTGCCACAAGTAGTAAGGGATACAGCAATCACCTTCCAAGATTTGAGGCAAGCATAGGCAAGCATGGTTGCCCTCAAAAGCTCTGTTAGAAAATTAATCCAAAGCGCTTCTGATAAGTCCAAAGGCGATCTGAGCCAAAGTGAACCGCCTCCTCCTAGGGCAGGGAGCTTCAGCATGGTTGGCCCACAAATGACTTGACACTTTGAGAAACACCACATGTTGCTACTTAGACCCTGCAAACCCTCGTGATTGATGTGTTGTTCTTTTTAGTGGCGAACTGCAATGGAGGTGCCGATTGATAAATTCCTGCCTATTGCTCATCAAATATCCCCAGGTTCGGTGTTGTGTTCTGTTGTAGGCCACGCAACCCCCTATGTCGCATAATCTCACAATAGGCTTGATTGTTCTACGGGTTGAAAAGAAACAGCCAAGGCAGGACATCCACGGCGTTAATGAAAATCTGCACTGATCTTCATGGATTGTCGACTATACCATACTATACCTATCTCACACAAACAATTCGAAGAAACTCCGTGAGTCTTCTCGGGATGGAAAAGAGCCTTCTTGTTACTAGTAGCTTCTTGCTACTAGTAGCGATGCCAGGAGCCCCTAGTAGCTTCTTGCTCCTACTTGTGATGGCCTCCAACCTACTTGCGATGCCCTTTGCTCCTAAAGCCCCTAGTAGCGTCCTTGCTCCTAGTAGCGATGCCCTTTGCTCCTAGTAACGTCCGATCGCTCCAAGCTTCGAAGGCTTTTCTTCAACGAAATGCCTCGCAACAGCTCTTGGTCCACCTCCAAGCGCTGCATCGCTCCCAGCGCGGCACTCTTCACGCTCGTCGCACCTTCCGCACCCTCGGCACCCTCCGCCGCATCGTCCGCGTCGTCCGGCCCCACGTCGGGCGGGTCAACCGCGTCACGTCGGGCGCGTCGGGAGAACGAGCTCAGCTTCTTCGGCTGATGCCGCGGCGCCAGGGGCTGCGGCTCCGGCTCCGGTGGCTCAGTGCGGTGATCATGGTGCACCACCTGGCAGAGGCTGAGTCAACCAGTTTTTCCAAAGAATGAATCGCTCCTTTCAACAACGACTTACGGGTTTTCTATGGTTTTCTTACCAGGTGTGGCTTTCCTTGTCATTTCCATCCCGGTCTATTCGATGACCCTGTGTGCCTCAGCCAGCTCTGGAGGCTCTTCTTCTTTGCAGCACTTTTGGCCCATCGATGAAATACACAAATGGCACCTTTGAGCCAAACAAATGGCCACAACTTAGTTGCACACAGCATGTCGGCCAATCCCACATGGTTGAACACCAGCTGAATTCTATCATGGAAAATGAATCTGGGTAGCACATGGTAGCACTAGTTTCCCAAGCCGAATGACAAGATTGCCATTGTGGCAATGCGGCAATACCCTTCGTCGGGACTCAAAGGTTGGTCGAAATCGACCGTGAGCACGTCGAGGTCTTGAAACGAAGAGATTCTAGTAGCTTCTTGTTACTAGTAGTATGGCCAGGAGCCCCTAGTAGCGTCCTTGCTCCTAGTAGTATGGCCAGGAGCCCGGTCTTAGGTTCGGTGTCTCTCTGAGAGGTGGCTGTAGCGCAGAACGGGAACCGCCTCCTCGGTACTGGCGATGTACTTGGAATCTACCGAGGCGCTCACCTGCAGGTGTTGATGAGATGCTTCGAATAAAACGATTTACCATGGAAGAATACCTCGTTCGCTGGGAATGCTACTAGGAGCAAAGGGCATCGCTACTACGGGGGGGGCTCCTGGCATCGCTGCTAGGAGCAAGAAGCTAGTGTAAATGGGTTTTGGCTGAGAACCCATCCCTTCTAATTCACCAACATGGTTTCCTGAGTTCGTTGAACACCTTGAACCAAACCATCTGTCTGCCTGTCTGCCTGTCTCTCTGCCTCTCTCTGCTTCTCTCTATGTTTTTGCACCGAACCCTTCCGGGTCCGAGTCTTTCAGTGGAGCAAATCGATGCAAAAACAAGAAGCTACGATCGGGGCTCCTGGCCGTACTACTAGGAGCAAAGGACGCTACTAGGGGCTCCTGGCATCGCTAATTACTGGGAACAAAGACGCTACTAGGCTCCTGGCATCGCTACTAGGAACAAGAAGCTACTAGGAGTTCGATGCCATATATATATATATCCCTCTCTCTCTCTCTCTCCTGGCTGTTCAAAAGCGTTGATGGGATCATGAAGGTACAAGACGACACCGCTCTGCTTCAAATCACGCCCAGTGACATGGGAATTCCAGCTAGCATGGATGATGGTGGACCGTATCAAGCAGTATCAGTATGACTCGAGCCAGGACCCTCAACAAATATTTGATTCAAGGTCATGGATAATCCAACAAGGCCTTTGACTTCGAGTCCGCGCTGCAATGTTTGAGGTCCACTGTTTGCATCCGGTGGTCTGAGGGATAATGGCTAGATGGTTCCCAAAGCGAGTAGAAAGAATGAGCTCAAGACCAAGAGGGATGCCTCACAAGCTCCACAGAATCTTGAAGGTATCTGCATTAATATGCATTGGCGGCTTGAGGATGTCCCATCTGCGGCCCCACACCGTCACACTTGCTCAATCCCACTTAGTCTGCCCACCTGCGCCAACTTTTCAGTACTACCCCTGGTGGTCCAGAGTCTGTAGATCATGGAGGGCAAAGCCAAGCCCAATGGCACCTGCCAGCGGAAGCAACCGAAACCCGGCGTCAGTGAGACTCATGAGAAGCGGGGGAAACATGTTTCCCCTGAATTCGACAAAATGGAATTCAATAGTTGAACAGGCAAACGCTATTGGTATCTACAACGGTCACGATTACCGGATTGCTGATGGTTGTACAATACAGGTGTTCTTCCCTACAATGATCACTGTTGATTGTATTTCTTCCTCCAGTGTGCTGCTTAGCTTTGGACGGCAAAAATCATTATTGAAAAGTCTTCCACAGAAATGCTATCTGATCTACTTGTGTGTGTGTTTGTGCTATAGTAATTAATGTAGTCATTCCAAGTTCTGATTCCTGTGCTGTTTTCTTGCACTCGTCGAACAAAAGGATAAAATGTGAGGGGTTTAACAGTTCGAGTCCACAAACTGTGTCTATCCAAGTCCATCCAACTTCATGTTGAATTGAGTCTATCGCAGTCCGACTTCCACCACCCATTTCGATAAAAAAACGTCCGCCGTCACCCGCCTTCCACCATTTCCCAGTGAAGATCCAACTGCCCGCGATGGTCGCCGCAATTCCGGCGATGAACGCTACGTTCCGTGCGGCGTCGTGCAGTTGTCTCAGCGCAAGAGTGAAGGGATTGAAATATGTAAGAGGGTATGAATGAGTGTGTTTAGATGTAAAGAAACTAATAGAGATGGCCTCCAACCTAGTAGCGATGGCCTCCAACCTACTAGCGATGGCCTCCAACCTACTAGCAATGGCCTCCAACCTAATAGCAATGGCCTCCAACCTAATAGCAATGAGGGTATACATGACTCAACAGAGGAGTACGAGGCTTTTTAAGGGTATTTATACAGCTTCTAAAACCGTCTAAAGGTATGACAGTCTTGGACTCAACTATCCCTTGCTAGTAACACTCTCTTTAAGTAGTATTACTCTTCTTCAAGGGCATGCAAAAATCAAGAAAGTTCAAGCATTCATTGTCCGTGTCCTTTAGCCTTTCTTCTCTTTTCTTGGTCTTTGGGGACACTGTCTTCTTTCCATTCTTATCTGCTTTCGTCACAAAGACGCTCGACTCCACATCCTTCCGGGACTGTCAAGACCTGCACCAAGCGCGTTCGGACAACTCCTCTAATCGCACCGAGGCACTGCCGTTTAAAGCCCAACGAATCCTTGGATCGGTGCGGCAGCGCCGCGTCGGTAGCCCCAAAACTCCATGTCAGGCAGTTCAAAGGCACACCGATCTGCGCCAGGTGTCAAAATACCCCCTTCTCGAGACCCAAAAGCCACATCTAGACTATATGCTATATCTACATCATCCGCATCCAAAAACAGAGCGACATCGCCAAGGAGCTAACTTGGAGATCTGTCGCACAACGCGGTCTGGCTCTTTGGCTCGAGATCTCCCACACATTCGCCCTGGGCCGCTCACCTAAGTGGTTTCTGGGAGCAAGGACGCTACTAGGAGCAAAGGGCATCGCTACTAGGAGCAAGGACGCTACTAGCTGCAGCGTAAGGTGCTGAAAGGATGAGATAAAGTGCCGATCGTTTTTGTGCTCCGGGACAGTGGAGGGAGAGTGACAACAATCCGAACAGGTCGATTAAGCGGTGTCAAAGTCGACGATGCTAAAACAAATCTACCCGCAGAATCTCAAGGACAAGGGCCACAAGTTCGATATTCCGCATGCTTCATGTTCTATCCATTCGATTGTGACACTGAGTATTATTTGATACTATTTGATAACCACGCTCAGCTCTCATTTGATGGCAGAACTCTGTGACACTCCACACCATCTAGCCTTTCGCTAAACAGAAATAGAAGAGCACCATCTGTTAAAAACCAATCGACTAAGGCCAAGAATCTGTTCCAGGCCTCGTCCCTTGCTTCCCAGTTCACTACCCAATGAACCTACTAGCAGTGGCCTCCAACCTACTAGCTTCTTGCTACTAGTAGTAAGGCCAGGAGCCCCTAGTAGCGATGGCCTCCGTGTCTTCAACTCTTGATGCATCGAGCGCCTTGGGGCATCGCAGCACTGGTGCGAAGCCCACGCCGGCCCCCAGCGCGAACAGCGGCAGGAGCGGCAGCAAGGGCCCACGGCGCCTGCAATTTCCCCCAACAACGCTGTTAACAAGGATGGCCAAGCTGCTAGTAGGTTGGATCGCTGTTAGGTTAGAGGCCATCGCTATTAGGATGGAGCCCATCGCTATTAGGATGGAGCCCATCGCTATTTGGTTGGAGGCCGTCGCTTTTAGGTTGGAGGCCATCGCTAGTAGGATGGAGCCCATCGCTATTAGGTTGGAGGCCATCGCTATTAGGATGGAGCCCATCGCTGTTAGGTTGGAGGACATTGCTATTGGGATGGAGCCCATCGCTATTAGGTTGGAGGCCATCGCTATTAGGATGGAGCCCATCGCTATTAGGTTGGAGGCCATCGCTATTAGGTTGGAGGCCATTGGTATTAGCTTCGAGGCCATCGCTTTTAGGTTGGAGGCCATTGCTAGTAGGTTGGAGGCCATTGCTTTTACGTTGGAGGCCATTGCTAGTAGGTTGGAGGCCATTGCTAGTAGGTTGGAGGCCATTGGTATTAGCTTCGAGGCCACCGCTATTGGGTTGGAGGCCATTGCTAGTAGGTTGGAGGCCATTGCTATTATGTTGGACGCCATTGCTAGTAGGTTGGAGGCCATTGGTATTAGCTTCGAGTCCATCGCTATTTGGTTGGAGGCCATTGCTAGTAGGTTGGAGGCAATTGCTATTAGGATGGAGCCCATCGCTATTAGGTTGGAGGCCATCGCTATTGGGTTGGAGGCCATTGCTAGTAGGTTGGAGGCAATTGCTATTAGGTTGGAGGCCATTGGTATTAGCTTCGAGGCCATTGGTATTAGCTTCTAGGCCATCGCTATTGGGTTGGAGGCCATTGCTAGTAGGTTGGAGGCCATTGCTATTGTGTTGGAGGCCATTGCTAGTAGGTTGGAGGCCATTGCTATTAGCTTCGAGGCCATCGCTATTGGGTTGGAGGCCATTGCTAGTAGGTTGGGCCATTGCTATTAGGTTGGAGGCCATTGCTAGTAGGTTGGAGGCCATCGCTATTGGGTTGGAGGCCATTGCTAGTAGGTTGGGCCATTGCTATTTGGTTGGAGGCCATTGCTAGTAGGTTGGAGGCCATTGCTAGTAGGTTGGAGGCCATTGGTATTAGCTTCGAGGCCATCGCTATTGGGTTGGAGGCCATTGCTAGTAGGTTGGAGGCCATCGCTATTAGGTGGGAGGCCATTGGTATTAGCTTCGAGGCCATCTTGGAGGCCATTGCTAGTAGGTTGGAGGCCATTTCAAACAGTAAGAAGGAACGGTGCTGTGTGCCCTGTGGCGCGCGAGGTGTCGACTCGCAAAGCACCTCCTCCCAGCTCGGTCTCTCGTCATCTCGTTGGAAAGGCTTCCCTTCTTTCTGAGCCAAAACCAACAAGGACCAAGAGCTGAACCCAAAGGACGTTACTAGGAACAAAGGGCATCGTTACTAGGAGCAAGGACGCTACTAGGGGCTCCTGGCCTTACTACTAGTAACAAGAACGCGATGCCCTTTGTTCCTAGTAACTAGCATTCTTGTCACTAGTAGTAAGGCCAGGAGCTGCTAGTAGCGTCCTTGCTGAACCCAAAGGGCCTAAGGATGCCTAAGACCATCGCCTAAAGATTGGAAACACTTGGCGCCGCGACACTTAGTCTGTTCACTTCTTGTTAGCAATAGTGACTGTAGAGTCCAACATGTTTCTTCCTATCTCTTCCTACCTATCTCTCATGCAAATGATTGTAAGGTGAGCTTGCGGATTGAGGAGCATCCGAAGGGAGCATTCTTCTTCAACTGACCTTCGACACTCATGTTCAGCTCAATCAATTCGTTGAAAATCAAAGAGGGTGCCCAAGGGGCTCCACATATGTCAATATGTATCCTTTCAAGCCCTCAACTTTAAGAATATAACTCCCTTGATCAAAAGACGTACATCTTGTCATCTGGGTAAAAGAAAGATGCAAAAAACTAGTAACTTAGTACTAATTTAGTACACGGACCTTACAAAGACAGTGGCAGAATGCGACCTTCGAGAAAGTGGGCATGAGGGGACTGAGCAAGCGTTTCCGAGATGAAGCACTTTGCAAAGTGTCGAAACCTTCTAGACGACCATCAAGTAATATCAAGCTTTAAAAATTGTATAGTGTAGTATATATTCTATCGTTTACTTTGTTGTTTCGTTTTGTCTGGAGCATCTGCCAGCACACGACCTTTTCTGTCGATCGAGCTGCGAGCGGTTCTCAAAACGAATCCTTTTCAGCTGCCTATCCAATCTAGAGTCATCCCGGGATCAAGGCAGTTGAAATTCCACCGTGGGCCCAAAAGCCCAAAAGGACCGGATCACCTCTTTTCTGAAACTGCTCAAACCTGTTGCTATGAAGCCAAGCAACTTGAGAAATACGATTCTTGTAACAAATGGCATCAGAATGCATCAGAAGTATAGTATAGATGGCAAGCAGCTGGACAATGGTAGGATCCAAAATACTGCAAAGAGCTATAGGCTATGAAATACATTGAAATTCTGCACTATTCTTATCCTTGGTGAATGGCATGCTGCCGTCAACAGCCAGCAGTTCAGCTGAATCATGCTGAATCTGTCTCCAACCTAATAGCTTATTGTTTCTACTAGCTTCTTGTTACTACTAGTAAGGCACTTGTTACTAGAAGCGATGCACTTTGCTCCTAGTAGCGTCCTTGTCTGATGCATCTACTGTTGGAAGGTGGAACGGTGGAACCATCTTGAAGCCGCAACTGCCGAAATCCGTCCCGCTGTGTGGCCAAACGCCTCAGATTGACACCTGGCACCTCCCCTCAATTTAACATTCACACGTCGCACGACGATCACGTAGCTCAAAATCAATCCGTACAGGACCTCAACTTGATGGTGAGATATCAGGTGGCATAGTGGGCATAGTGCTTCCTTTAAAAAAGATCCTTGGGACTCCTGTGGCGTTGCAAAGACACATTGTTCGGTCATCTCACGGGGTGGGGGAGCAAGGGGTATTTAAATCATATTAAACTATATAGCTATTAGATGCTATTAGTAGCGCCCTAGTAGTGGTCCAGACCCAGGCCTTCGAAAAGGCCCTGCTTTCACGATTCAATCGCTCAGCTTCTTTCATAATGCCACAGATGCGTTTTAAGGCCATGGCCTCGGCAAGAAGCTACTAGGAACAAAGGGCATCGCTACTAGGAGCAAGAAGCTACTAGGGGCTCCTGGCC